TTTCTGATTCCGTTCCTTCTTTGATTTTAATGCCGGGCGGGTTTAGGCAGGGCTTTCCCAGCCCTTGGCACTTTGACTGCCAAGAACTGTTTTATTCTTAGGCATCTTTACTGCAGAGGTGATAATTTATGATCATTTTAATGCAAGATTGTACGATAAGGGAGCAAAGGATTCAGGATTCTTTTAATGAAGAGGTAATGCAAGCTACCTTGTGAAGTTGTGGGGTTTTTTTTAACCCGATTGGGGCCCACACACCTTTGAAATAAATATTCCGTCTCTGATGTATCTTGGAGCTTTGCATACCTAAGTCACAGGCTGGAACCCTCTTTTGTCCCCTCCTCCTGTGTGCGTTTGTGTGTCGGCTAGCAGATAACAACACCGCATGCATCTTGACAAAGCATCCCCAAAAGTCGATGCCACAATCTGAGCTAGTTTGGTGTAGTGGTTAAGTGTGCGGACTCCAATCTGGGAGAACTGGGTTTGATTCCTCACTCCTCCACTTGCACCTGGCTGGTGTGACCTTGGGTCAGTCACAAGTTCTCTATGAGCTGTTCTCTCACGGGAAGTCCTTGAAAGAGCTCTCTCAGCCCCACGTACCTCACAGGCTGTCTGTTGTGGGGAGGGGAAGGGAAAGGAGATTGTCAGCCGTTCTGAGACTTCTTCGGGTAGCGAACGGCGGGGTATAAATCCAATCTCTTCTACTTCTTGTCTTCTTTTGAGTGCCACACGACGTTGGATGCGGACAGTTGCCCTCTCCGTGCCCAGAGTTGCCATCTCCACCAGTTCCGGCCTGTCAGTCCCCTCACGTCCATCTCCAAGATTCAGCCTTCCTACCAAAGGCTTCCTTCTTTGGCTTTTTAACATCTGAACAGAGAAGGTCGCCACCATCCCCAAGAGTTTGCAGCTCTGCTGTGAAAAGCAGCACACACACACCCCGCCCCATCAGCGACAAACCCTCAGCAATCCCAGGATGTCCTTTTTGCCTTCATGCAGGGCTATTACAAAGCCAGGGCGGGCTTGACAAATCTGTATTGTCCTGTTGCAAATCTATCTCCCTTCTTCTTCTGTCCATATAAGTTTCCCTCTGCCTAGAATGGACTGGAAAAGTTGCTTTCTCGAAAACTCCCTCTTCCCCTTTTGGAGAGCCAACCAAAAATGACCGGCTCCTGTAACCCTGGGCTGTTCCGCATTCTCATCTCCCTCGCTTGTAAGTTTTGCTTCCTCTAGTGGTTGATCTGATTCTCACACCCGGTCAATGTTCCCTCTAAGCTGTGGAGTCTCGTGAGCAAAAAATTCTTCTTTGTGAGCGCCTGGCGTTAAAGTTGTGAGCGAGCGATTTGGTTGCTGCATAGATTAGTTTGCTCTGGAGTCCTCCTTCCTGAGCTAAGACAAAAATGTGAGAGCCGGAAGCTAAAAAACTGTGAGCTAGCTCACACTAACTCAGCTTAGAGGGAACACTGCACCCGGTTATGTCTGACATAAAAACCTGCCATTTAAAGCCAGTTTGGTGTAGTGGTTAAGAGTGCAGCGTCTAGTGTAGAGAGCCAGTTCGGTGTTGTGGTGAAGAGCACGGACTCTGATCTGGGAGAACCGGGTTTGGTTCCCCACTCCTCCACATGCAGTTGCTGGTGTGACCTTGGGTCAGTCACAAGTTCTCTCAGAGCTGTTCTCTCACGGGCAGTCCTTGAAAGAGCTCTCTCAGCCCCACCTACCTCACAGGGTGTCTGTTGTGGGGAGGGGAAGGGAAAGGAGTTGGTAAGCCGCTCTGAGACTCCGAGTGAAGGGCCGGGTATAAATCCAATCTCCTCTTCTTCATCTGCAGGGAGATGTGCTGGACATACACCAGTCGAATATCAAAATGGCCACTACAAGGAGCAAAACATGTGCAGGACCCCCCCCCCCAAAAAAACCCAGGAACTTACAAGCGAGGAGAGTGACAAGGTAGAAAGGGCTCTATCACCCACCCATTGGGAGAATGGAGCAAACTGTCTGACTTGATTCCCGGGTGCTGCCTCTTCCGGCCTGCTCCTGTACAAGGTGACTCACATGCAAGTCCCGGTGAGTTCCAGAGGCCTTATTCCTGGTGTGCAAAATATGCACAGCTTTCCATGCCACAGGTCTTGGTGTGCCCAAAGAATGCCATCTTGGGGGGGGGGGTGGACTCATTGCCTTTAACAGATGAATGAGACACAAGAATTCAACAGAAGAAGAGATTGGATTTATACCCTGCCCTTCACTACCCAAGGGAGTCTCAGAGCGGCTTACAAACTCCTTTCCCTCCCCCTCCCCACAACAGACACCCTGTGAGGCAGGTGGGGCTGAGAGAGCTCTGACAGAAACTGCTCTTTATCAAGGACAGCTCTTATCAGAACTACGGCTTGCCCAAGGTCATCCAGCATCCAAATCTTGTTGTCTCCCTCTTTGTGTTGCTGTGAATTTCTGTCCGGCGCAGAACTGTCGGGTACAGCAGTCATGGGGGGGGGGACACCAAAGCACACACTGTAACCAGGGGTCATTTCCTGCCGGAGTGCACAGGAGCGGAGCTATGGCAGTAAGGAGCCCAGGGGGTGGGCACATGCAACAAGCCCTGCTCCCAGCAGCCTTCTATCAGGCCACGAGGAGCAAGAAGCAACCAGGTAGGGTTTCCAGTCCTGAAAAACACAAAATGCTCTACATCTGACAACGGCACTACGGATGAGATTAGAATTTCATCAGCCAATCCAGATGCAAAAGAACCTCCTCAGGAAAGCTCCACCATTAACATGTCACAGCCGGGGGAACGCCTACCAGATAATGACTCAGCCCTACCCCACCTTCCTGAGAAGATATAAATTACCTGCCTACCATTCTTCTTCTCACATCAACACAGAGAGGACGCCATCTTTCTGTGTTATACCTCTGAGGATGCCAGTCACAGCTTATTAAACACTGGGTTCAAGACGCATCGCAGTGAACAGCTCTACTTTATTAAGTGATTCAGCAGATACAAGACTGAAACCTCAGGGCAACAGCCCTGTTTAAACAGCATGCAAAAAGCACACCCAAACACACCCAACTCCCAACGATAGGCTATTTACATAACATTAGTTTCTCACTGGTCCCTTCCAGAGTCCTGGTGGGCTATTGTTCTAGAGCTCCAAGCTCAGCCAGTCTCTGGTAGATAGTCCTGGAATGTTCCAGTCCTCATACATAAAACAGCTGCTGGCAAAACGTCAGGTACCACAATGCCAAGACCACGGCCATACAGCCCCGAAAATCTACGACGACTGAGGTCTGTATTGCGGTGCATAGCTTATTGTAAGCAGGAGTCCATTTATGTAACTTTGGTACTGTCGTGCGAATACTTATGCTATCCTTCAGTGCTTTTTGGTGGGTCCAGACTGCTAAAGTCCTAATGCATTCGTTTCCAAATCTCCCACTTTGTTCACTGTACTGACTCACGATGCCTAATCCGCCTTGAGCCCCTCCCCCCGTGAGAAAGGCAGATGATAATAAATGTCAGTGGACAACTCCAGAGCCCTCGTTTCACCAGCCGCTTATCTCTCTTGGAGATACCAAGTCACAGGAGATAATTTACACTTGCTAGAAACCAAGCTCTCCCCTCAGCAGTTCTGGAAGGGTGATATAAAAAAGTCCCGATGGAAAACAGGTTATGCCTTTGTAGTACAGGGGAGGTTGAAACTGTAGAACCTGTCTTATTTTGCTGCCCTTACTATATATATTTTTTTATCGAGAAGTTTGTATTACGTTTGCCTCTCCTATAATTAGAAGGTACTTTGGCCGAACAGGCTAAGTGTATACTAGAATGTTGCTGATGAACTTACAGAGCTGCAGTGGCTCAAGTGGTTAAGACACTGAACTGCAGGGTGTCGAAGGTCAGTAGTTCAGCAGTTCGAGACCCGGGTGCCGCATGACACCGTGCGCCTCGGTGTTTAGTCATGCCGGCCACATGACCACGGAAATGTCTTCGGACAGCGCTGGCTCTTCGGCTTGGAAATGGAGATGAGCACCGCAACCCTAGAGTCGGATTCGACTGGCTTTCAAGCAAGGGAACCTTTACCCTTTACCTTTTTACAGAATTCAGCAGATAAAGAAGAAAGAAGACGGAAGAAAACAGGAGGAGGAGAGGAGGAAGAGGATATTTATACCCTGCCCTTCACTCGGAGTCTCAGAGTGGGTTACAATCTCCTTTCCCTTCCTCTCCCCTGTGAGGTAGGTGGGGCTGAGAGAGTGCTGAGAAAACTATGACTGGCCCAAGGCTGCATGTGAAGGAGTGGGGAATCAAACCCGGTTCTCCCAGATTAGAGTCTGCACTCCTAAACACTACCCCAAAGGTTAAAATTGTACTTTAAAATGTTTTTAAAGATATTTAATTCTCATGTTTTAAATGTTATATTTATTAATAGTCTTTTAAATTTGGAGCAGATGAACCTGTTTTATTCTGTGCTGGTCAAGAGCCGTTTTAATAAAGATTGGTTGATTAATATAAGTAAATAAATAGAATTAAATACATGCAAAGCTGATCCAAATTTCAACCACGAGTCTTGCATGAAATGCAGAATACGACACAATTTGTGTGTAAAGCACAAATCTTCCAGGCGGAGCAGAGTGAGGGCTTCGTGCAGACCCAAGCATGCCCGTTGGTTCTTCTTCCTTTCCGTAGGTAGTTTTCGTCCTTGTGACATAACCCACGGTGAATTTGCGATGCAATTTTTGATGCCGTCTGTCCTTTGGCATTTCTTCTTTCGATTGCTTTACAAGGTACAGAGGTCCCGGCTGAAACAAACACAGGTGGCACGACTGCAAAATGAACTGGGGGTAACAAAAGACAGTCTGGAATGGAGTTCTACGTCGGGTTGCCAGCTCTGGGTTGGGAAATACTTGGAGATTTGGGAGAGGGGATGGTTGAGCCTAGAGAACGCAGGGCTTAGGAAGGGGAGGGGCCTCAGCACGGTACAATCCCACAGAGTCCACCCTCCAAAGCCGTCGTTTTCTCCAGGGGGACTGATTTCTCTAGTCTGGAGAGCAGTTGTCAAAGCAGCAGGTCTCCAGGGCCCACCTGGAGTTTGGCAACCCCTGTTCTACAGCACCTAACTTTACTCTGCAGTGGTGGGAACGTTACGGATGGAGTGGCACACCCAGGGGTCATTTCATAGAAAAAGAGGTGCAGGAGCTCATTCGCATAACTCATCGGCATAACTCATTTGCATATGCCACACCCCCTGACATCACCGGAAGTGTGTCAGAAGGCAACACCCACCGCTCAGGCTCCACTGGACTGTTTTGGATTGCTAGCTATTGGGGGGGGGGGGGGGGACGTGATCTCTCCTTGCAAAGGAGGGAGAGCTTGTACCTGAATAAAACTTGGTCTTATTGGTCTTAAAGGTGCACTGGACTGTTTTGGATTGCTAGCTAGGGGTGGGGAGGGAACACGCAGATCTGTCCTCACAGAGGAGGGAGAGCTTGTACCTGAATGCAGGCGGGGGGGGGCTCTGCAACTTACCTGGCTGCTAATAAGTTGTGCTAATGAGCTCCTGCACCTCTTTTTCTACGAAATGACCCCTATTTCTACCTAAAAGATATAAAGCACAAAGTGGCCATTTGGTAACATTCCTGCACACGATCTTCAGTATTTCCATAGGCAGAGGCACAAGCGGTAGAGGCAATTCCTGCACTTGCTTGGCTCAGAGGTGCCCTCTACTGGGAGCTTGATTTGTTGCAAGGAAGATTTGATTTCTCTCCCGGAGTGAGGCTGACAACCTACTTCGGAATAGCCCTAAAGGTACTGAGAGACGAGGGAGGAGTGCTGTCTTTCTACCCGGCTAGTGGGGTTCTAACTGAGGGCATCTGGCTGGTCACCGCTGGAGTCAGGATGCTCGGCTAGACGGCCATTCTTGATCTGATCCCTCAGGGCTCTTCTGCAGCTCTTATACAGTGGCAGTCAAAGAGATTCAGAGGACAGATCGACGGATCGAGCCAAATCAAGCCTCCATGTTCAGGGGCAGTGTACCTCTGAACAAAGATCGCTGGGGATAAACCACTGGGAAAACTGTCTCCCTCCCCAGCCTGCTTTTGAGCTTCTCAGATGCAGACAGATTACCATTTTTGAAATTAGACTGACCCTTGGCCTGATCCAGCAGAGCTCTTCTGATTTCTGTTTATTTATTGTTCCCACCCTTCCTCCAAGGATGGGGGGGTGGGTGTTCAGTGGCTTCCTTTCCCCTGTTCCCTATTTTATATTCACAACAACCCTGTGAAGTAGGCTACACAAAGGAAGCAAGCACCAAGAACACAGAGCATCCCTTGCCCAAGCCGGAGAGTTCCTATCTATACCTTGTGGCTAATAGCCACTAATGGACCTCTGCTTCATACGCTTATTCAGTTCCCTCTTGAAGCCGTCCATGCTTGTAGCCACCGCCACCATCTCCTGTGGCAGTGAGTCCCATGTGTTAATCACTCCTTGGGTGAAGAAGTACTTCCTTTTATCCCTTCTAACCCGAGTGTTCACCAATTTCATGGAGTGCCCACGAGTTCTCGTACTGTGAGAAAGGGGGGAAAGTACTTCTTTCTCTACCTGTTCTATCCCGTGCATCATTTTGTAAACCTCGATCATGTCACCCCTCAGCCGTCGTTTCTCCAAGCTAAAGAGCCCCAAGCGCTTTAACCTCTCTTCATAGGGAAAGTGTTCCAACCCTTTGATCATTCTAGTTGCCCTTTTTCCAATGCCACAGTATCCTTTCTGAGGTGCGGTGACCAGAACTCCACACAGTACTCCAAATGAGGTTGCGCCATCGATTTATACAAGGGGCATTATGAGACTGGCCAATTTGTTTTCAATTCCTTTCCTAATAATCTCCAGCATAGCGTTGGCCCTTTTTATATTGCAGTCACACACTGTCTCGACATTTTCATTGAGTTATCTACTAGGACTCCAAGATCTCTCTCTTGGTCAGTCTCTGCCAGTTCGGACCCCATCAATGTGTATTTATAGTTAGGGTTAGTCAACGAGGTGATTCCACACTGAGGTCAGCATCTGTCACAAGACACATTTTGGTGCTGTGACCCACCCCCGCAGGACTGGCTGTCTCTTGCAGAGACACCAACCCCGCAAGGGGGGAGCCGGCCATCCACTCTGCCCTCCAGCCTCTGGAGGGCGCACATCAGCAATCGCAACTGCTCTGCTTGCCGGTGACTCATCAAGCCAACCTGCTTCTCCAGCTGGCACACCTGGGCTTCCTGTTTCCTCCGGGCGTTCCGGTAGGCATGGACCATGGCACTGCGGAGAGAAAGGAATGTGCCAAATTAGGATGGAAATGAAGAAGAAGAGATTGGATTTATACCCCGCCCTTCACTCGGAGTCTCAGAGCGGCTCACAAACTCCTACCCCTTCCCCTCCCCGCAACAGACACCCTGCGAGGTAGGCAGGGCTGAGAGAGCTCTTGCGAGGACTGCTCGTAAGAGAACAGCTCTGAGAGAACTATGGCTTACCCAAGGTCATCCAGCAGCTCTGCAAGTGGAGGAGTGGGGGATCAAACCCGGTTCTCCCAGATTAGAGTCCGCGCACTTAACCACTGAACTGTGCACTTAATCACTACACCAAACAAAGTGGGAGGCGGGACGCCAGGGTTCTCACCGCAGCTTGGAAAACATCGATGAGCCCATGGTAATTTCTAATGACACTGGATGGCTTTCATACAGGGTGCCGAAATGTGGATACCCACATACAAGGTGTTCTGCATACTGGGGGGAGGGGACACAGACGTGAGGATCCTCCATCTATACAGAAACCCATTACGTTGTCAATTAAAAAGAAGCCCCCTCCCCAATAGTACAAGAGAAGTGAGCATGCTCATTATTCTCGAGAATTCACGGAATGTTGAGGGCAGTGATGTGTCTATTATAGAAGACTAGAAATAATGCCCGTTGCGGAAATAAATACAACGGGATCTAGAAAGAGGCTCTGGGAGAGTGCTCTGGCTTTGGGCAAACAGTGTCAGTTTCCTGTGGCGACCTCAGCAGGGTTTAATGACAGAGTCCACTGTTTTCTCCAGAGGGACTGATCTCTGCATTTGTATGTTTGAGTTATCTGTAGCCCTCACCTGGAGAGTGGTAACCATTGTTACCCATTCTCCTCTCCCCTATGAGGTATGTTATGCAACTGAAAATCCCAACTGCCTTGCGGGGGGGGGGGAGTTTGAGGTGTGGAATGGACTGAAGTCCAATCAGCTTCCATATGCAAAAGACCAGGTTGTCGCAGCAGTTGTGGTGTGGGTGGGACCCGGGCTTTGCCTTCTGATTGGTGGTGATATATGCTGAGGAGCAGTGCCATCAGCCATACACTAAGGGAGTGCATTTCAGAATTAGAACTAACTTTGGCACCCACTATTCAATTATATATAAGGAGAGATAAGGAGAGAAGGGGAAATTTGGCCTCTTCGAGCCTCTAAGAGCTCTAGTATATCCCAGAGAAGGGGATCTGAATCAGGGGGGAAATTCTCCAAATCCACACCAAAAGTCCTAGGTACCAACTGGTTCCTTCTAATGGAGGCCCTGTGCCAAAACATACTGCAGAATGTTGAAGGCCACGGAATGCTTGGAGAAATGACGGCTGAGGGGTGACATGATCGAGGTTTACAAGATTATGCATGGGATAGAGCAGGTAGAGAAAGAGGTACTTTTCTCCCTTTCTCACAATGCAAGAATTCGTGGGCAC